CTGCCTCTGGGAGGTCTCGCGGCGCGAGGTCCCCTGCCTCCTCCAGCGAGGAGGTCCACGCTGCCTCCAAGAGTTGGGCATGGGAGATGCCTTCAAACAGGCGTGGCCCCTGGCGACGGCAGAGCTGTTTTTGTGCCATTTCCAATAATGCGGCTCTGAATTCAACCAACGGCACCTAAACGGCTCACCGAAACCGTAAAAACACGGTTCCCCGAACCGGCCTGGGTAGTCTTGTGATCCAAAAGACGTTCGGAGACGGTTCGAAAGTGGTTTAGATCGGGTAAACAAAAATTATGATCTAGACCAGGACCCCACCAGGGGAACCGAAAGCGCTAAAAACAACGGCGCCAGAAACGTCAACAAAAACGGCGCCAGAATTTGTACGGTGTGAGGGCTCGTTGAGGAATGCGCCCAGGAGGCTGCAGACCTTGGATGATTCCTTCTCTGATTAGGGCCGCGGCGGTATCCATGGCCAAGCCTCAGTTGGTGTTCCATTGGCTTCCAGACCCTAGATTCCTTATCCAATGGTTCCTTCTCCTGTACCCTCACAGTTGAAAATGGAAAAGAGGAATCGGTAAGAAAAAACTGCCCTGTCCTTTCCAGAGCCCGCCAGGGACCAGACGTCAAAGTGCTGGCGGTGCCGGCTCTCTTCCGCTCTGGCACCCCCCTTCGAGGGGCTCGCGCGGCGCTGAGGCCCCCCCTCTTGGCATTAGATCAGCGCCCCGTGAGGCGCTCCACACTTAACTTCTCCTTCGTGCGAGCGATGGTCCAGGGATCCTTCGTAAGATCAGGGCGAGTACGCCAGGCTCTCGGTGGCCCCAGAGACGAAAGGGCAGCTCTTCTGCCGCTTCCGTCTTGCCGTTTGCTCGCCAGCTGCCGCGCCGTTTCTGCTTCTTGGTTCAGGCGCCGTTTGTTTTCCAGCTCCGGCTCCAGTCCCAGATCCATTTATTCGAGACGCTTCGCGTAGTAAACCCTCCAGCCTTCCTGCTGACGTGCAGCCTAGTACGCTGGACTGCTTGCGCGGCCCCGCGCTTTGCCACGTTCGGTGGCACGCCTACCTCTGGCGCCTGGCGCGACAAGGTACGACTCGTTCGTCTTCCCGGTGGTCCCGCCTCTGGGATGGCTGCACGTCGGCCGCCTGGCTCTCCTGGCAGCTCCTGCAGCCCGCCTTCAGCCCCCGGCGCCACTCAGCATCCCTCGGCGGCAGCCTCGGCAGCCGTGAGTGCGCTCGCTGGGTAAGTAGGCTCCGCCCGTAGCCCGGGTCGACCTTGGACGCCGCCTGCGCCTTCTCTTGCGGCTGCGACCAAAAAGTAAACCCTCCAGCCCATCCAGAGACGATACCCAGACGAGTTGCCCTGATCAGGGATGTGGAGGAGCATGCAGTGGAATGCAGGGCTGGGTAAGACTTCATATTCCCAGATAGCTCTCTGAGAGCTAAGAGGGCTTCAGGTTAGAAGCCAGCACCGCAGAGAATCACAGGAGCTCTTTCTGGCGCCGGGCAAGCATCCCCGCAGCGATTCTCTTGAACTTGCAGCGTGTCCCAGCAAGCACTTTCCTACTCGTTCCCAATACGCGTGCCGGAAGCATTTCGGCAGATGCTCCGAAGCTCCTTGGGAGTTCTTGCGGAGCTCCCTTCTCCAGCCTGCAAGTTCCCAGACATACTTTCAAGCGTCCTTGCAGGCGTTTCCGAAAGCGTTTCACGCGCTTTGGACCGCTCCGCTATCCGGGTCTGAAATTTCTACACATGCCCCAAGAAGAGGAGGAGGATGGAGGAGGAGGAGGAGCAGGAGGAGGAGCAGGAGGAGGCGGAGTAGGGAGAGGGGAGGGGGAAGGGGGAGGAGGAAAAGGCAGATGAATACGAGGAGGAGGAGGAGGAGGAGGAGGAGGAGGACAAGGAGGGAGGGCGAGCAGAAAGGCCAGTGGCGTTTTGGATGTTTCTCGGGCCCTGGAGGCATCTTGGTACGTCTTGGGTGCCTCGGGGGAGCCTCTTGGGGCCTCTTGGGGACCTCTTGGGGACCTCTTGGGGACCTCCTGGGCGCCTCTTGAGGCCCTCTTGGTAGCTTCGGGGGCCATCTTGGGGCCATCTTGAAGGAGCTCGATCAGGGAAGGGGGGTTAGTCAATTAAGGTCCCCCCAGGAGGCCAAGATGTGGCCAAAACCTTAGTAAAATCAGCAATGTTGGCCTTCTCGCCGAGGCCATCTTGGACGCTCTAGTGAACCCTTCGGCCCCCCCCCCCCGTCCAGGTCTGGGGGGGAGGAGGTAGGAGGGGGGGTAAACCCTTGCGCGAAGGGGAAGGACGAGGGTTGGAAGAGGAGACGGTCTCAACTACTCACGCCCTACAGGGCTGGTGGAATTTCCCATTTGGGGGAGCCGCTTTGTTTTCACAGTTTTTCTCCAAATAGGTTTGCCCTATAGGAGTCCTAGCTCATCATAAGTAATTGGTCTTTAGGACCCCCCCCTTTTTTCAATGGCACCCCCCCCCCTTTTCCAATGGCCCCCCCTTTTTCCAATGGCACTTGCTTGTTTGCTCTTGCGTGCTTGCTCTCGCTTGCTTGCTCTTGCGTGCCCTTGTTTGCTTGCACTTGATCGCTGGCTCTTGCTTGCTTGTTATTCCTCGCTTGCTTGCTTGCGCTTGCTTGATTTTGCTCCTCCCGTCCTCCTCCTGTCCTGCTTTCGTCCTCCTCCCATCCTCCTCTCGTCCTCCTCCTCCTCCTGTCCTCCTTTCTATTTCAAGTCAACGCTGGTTGGTATGATGGACTGGTGTGAAAACGGCAAACCAAAAAAAAAAAACAGCCCTGTCGGTTCTGGGGCCCACTGAGGTCAGGTTGCGACGCACGCCGCTGACGGCGTCTCTCGGGCCCAGATGCGTACGGCGCACGGTCGGGGCGCACGCCTGCGTTGCAGACCGTTTTGTTATCCCCTTGCGAATAACGGGAATGACCAGGGGGGGGGATTGTGCCGGTCACGTCGCGATTCGTGCCGGCGCCGTTGAGAACTGTTCAGGGAAGGCGAATTCTCACACGGCGCCAGCGCGGATCGTGACGTGACCATGGGGGGGGGAGGGAGGGGGGCGGAGCTTGTCACGGGCGTGGAGGGGGGGGGGGAAGGGAGGGGACGGGAGGGGGAAGGGAGGGGGGAGGGGGGAAAGAGGGGGGGAGGGAGGGGGGGAAGAGGGGGGGAGGGAAGGAGGAGGGAGGGGAGGGAGGGGAGGGGGGGGGGGGGGGGGGGGAGGGGGGGAAGGGGGGGGAAAGGGGCGAGGGAGGGAGGGAGGGAGGGAGGGAGGGCCGCTTTCCTGCCCTGGAGCCACAGGCGCGGCCGGGGCCGCCGCCGCGGCGGCCGAGCCCTGCGCAGGGTGCCCCGCCAGGGTGTCGGGGCTCAAGAGACGGGGGTCAGTGCAAACGGGGGTCAGCCAGGGTTATGTCGGGCGTGTCCCCCTGCAGGGGGATCTTCGACGAGAAATCAAAAATACCTTACGAATACCCCAGGAAGGTCAAAAAATAGTACCCAAACTATTGTTGGGGTATTTTTTATTTTTCGTCGAAAATCCCCCTGTAGGGGGACAGGCCCGAAATAAAGCCAGGGCACCGGATCCTGCAGGATCCTACGAAGACCCCCTCTGGTTGACCCGGGTTAGCGAGCCGCTCGTGGCCGCGAGGCGGCCGCGCATATTGGCTGACCCGGGTTTGCGAAGTTCTGCGTTGCAGTCTTTGTTCCAGCATTGCAGTTGTTGGTTTCCTGCTGACCGGGGTCTGGATTGACCCGGGCCAGAAGATCCCCAAGGGTGGAGGGAGGAATCCGTGTTTTTATCCTTGGGCTTAAATCGGGCTCGTCCCTCTAGAGGAGGAAGATTCAAGAATAGTCAAAACATAGTCTGGGGACAGTTTTTTGATTATATCTGATGATTTGATTATTTGTTGGCTCTTCCTTATTTCTCGCCCAGAATCCGCCTGTGGGAGGACGTGCCCGACCCAACCCCAGGGCGAGAAGGGGCGGGAATCCCATCCCGATGTCGTCGGATGCGGTCGACATCTGGGCGACATGTGGACGAAGGGGGAAGAGGGGTGGTCAGATCTGCATCGAACAGGAGGGAAAAAACACACAGGCACAATTAATCGATTCCCCAGAAAGTATGGGAAAATATGGGAAGTGGGGGGGGGGAAAACAAAAACCCAGAAAATACGGGAAAGTATGGGGAGTCTTTTTACTCGCGTGTATTTATTTGTGTGCCCTGGGGCCCCTTCAATCGAGTCTGGTCGGAGTCACGCTTCTGGCAGGGCCGCGGAGGTCCACTAAAAAAAAGCCCCCCCCCCCCCGGAGGCGCGGCTCCCTCGGCGGGCGCGGCCAGGGGAGGGTGCGCTAACGCCACGACTCGCGCCCGCGCGCCGTCTGCGGGGAATGCGCTCGAGCACGGCGGCTGCCCAGACGGCGCCAGCCCGAGTGGTGTCGCGACCCGGGGGTTTGGCATCGCTCGGACGTGTGCATTTTTTCTCGGCGAGAGCCATCGAGGACCATCTTGGACCATCGAGCAAAAAAAAAAAAAAAAAAAACGCACGAAGCCGAGAAATGCACGGGAGATGGACGTCCGAGCGACGGCCAGGGGGGGGGCGGCGGGAGCGGGGCTGTTCGCACCGTCCGTTCTGCTGGCCGCATGGGACCCCAGGCCTGCAGAGCTCGCGTGCCCGTGTCGTTCTCGTTCTGGCCCCGTGCTGCTGCTCTGGTGCTGAGAAGTGCCCCCCTTCACATCCTGGTCCGCTGCTCTCCTGTATCCTCCTCTGGAGGACAGGGGTAAAACGACACGAAGATCGGGACAACATCGGATCGGGATAACTCGAAATCTCTGAGAATCGGCGGGTTTGGAGGATGTATTGGGCGCCGCGGCCGCTCCAGAGCGTTCCGGAACGCTCTGAGAGCGCTCCGGAACGCTCTGGAGCGATTTATCCCGATCCTAGCCCTGCTTTAAGGTGGTGCAGGCGTGGCCTGCTCTTGCGAGGGGCCATTGGGGGGGAGACGAAACAGGAAAATCGGGCGAGGTCCGTTCTGGTGAGGGGGTGCAGGCGTGGCCTTCTGTTGGGAAGTGTGTGGGGTGGGGGTTCATGTCAGGGGTGCAGGCGTGGATTACTCTTGCGGAGGGTGGGGGGAGGAAGAGGGGGGAGTCGAAGAAAAATGTGTATAAACATAAACTTGATGCACGCGGCGTTGGCTGTGGCATGTCCTCTCCAGGAAAGATAGCTAGAGCAGGGGGGTGCGTGGCAAACTCCGAAGGACAAAGTTGCAGTGCAGCTGAGCGGTGAGGCAGAAACGGCCTGCCACATGCAATTTGGAGGACAAGGAGAAGGAGAAGGAGGAGATGGGAGAAGGAGGACGAGTAGAATGAGGATGAGGAAGGGCACGTGTCGACCCAGCCCTCCCTCACCAAGGCGTCTCCGAGGCCCCTGGCGAAGTCGAAGTCAACGCGAACGCACCTCGACCATCTCAGATCGTTCTGTCATGAGCAGGAGCAGGGCGCTGCCAATCTGGCAGGAGGGGGGAAGAGCTGGCGGGATGCACTTGTGTGTGTGCGTGTGTGCAGACACGGTTTGGCTCGAGCGCGTCCACCTTTTGCGCGGATGCAGTTTACGTTGCGTCTCCCGCCGCGCTGCACGCGCTCGTGACAGCCACACCGCCGGAAGAGGAGCCAACGTGTGTGCAGACATGACGGGATGGATGCCAGGGGTTCGCGCTGCAGGTACAACGCCAACGACCTCACGACCGTGGACTCGGAGGAGATGGAGGAGTACCAGCGGTACGTGGCGGCCCTGCAGCTGCAGTACGCCGCCGGCTCGGCTTCACCGCCTCTTTGATGCTCCGTCGACCGCACTGCTCTTACGCAGTCCCCCCTCCAAGATGTGGCATGGGAGTGTGGCCGAAGCGCCGCGGGCTTCAGGGCGACAGGCTCGCACACCCCGACCTGGCCCTGCCGCTCCTCGGCTGCGCCTACATCGATCCAGGGGTCAGGGGGTTGTGCCTTCGAAGGGGCCCGCTTTTAGGAGGGCGCGGGGGCCAGGCTCCCCCTTCTGAGCAGGACGGTTCCCTCTCTGCGACGGCGTCTTGTGAGAGGCCCCAGGGCCTTCTTCTTGGAAGGCCTGCACCCCAGACCCATGCCTCCGTCACCTCGTCTACGTTCAGCCGCTCGCCCCTTGAGATCTCGACCCCCTCGTTTACGCTGGCTGCGGCCGACGCGGCGGAAGGCACAGCGGGCCAGGGATGACGCCGCTCAGTCTGATCGCACTTGCGGCAAATTCAGTTCCCCCCCCACACCTGTTTCCCCCCTCCTTTGCATCGAGTTCGCTCAATGGGCTGCCATGGGCTGCTGCCGAATGGCGGGGTGCCGTTCTCCGAGTATTTGCACTGCGCCGTTCTTAGAGGACCAAAACAAAAGCGGACGAAACAAAAGCGGACGAAACAAAAGCTGATGAAACAAAAGCGGATGAAATAAAAGACGGAAGAAACAAAAGCGGATGAAACAAAAGCAGATGAAACAAAGACGGACGAAACAAAAGTGGACGAAACAAAAGCGGATGACACAAAAGCGGACGAAACAAAAGCGGATGAAACGAAAGCGGATGAACCAAAAATCCAACCTTTTTGGCGGCTTGTTCACGGTCTCGGGTTTTTTGTTTCCGGGGTTGAGGGTTCGAATTCTGTCCGGTCTCTCCATCTTGGGCACCGCTTGGAGCCAGCTTGGGCCGTCGTGGGCGCCTCTTGGGCCGTCTTATAGGGGCCTAGGGCCGTGTGGGGGCCCTCCTGGAGGGTTCGGTGGGCCGTGCCGTCCTGGGGCGATCTTGGGGACCTCTTTGGGGTCGGCTTGGATGCTGTGAAGATCACATACTGAGCATTTTCTTAGGGTGGAGGGCTCTGGGTGAAATCCATATGGTTTTTGCACCTTGAAAATCAATCCGTCTTGTGATTCACCTTCTGCAGATTCAACCTCGAAAATCAATCAGAACGGCATTTCAAATTTCACCCTTTGCCCTCCACCCAAAGCAAATGCTTGGAAATAGGCGAACATACTAAAGATGCACGCTTTCATAACGGATGGGGACGATTGTTGCTTCTTGTGACCGTTTGGGAGGCCCTCTGGGAGCCTTCATGGGCGGTCTTGGGGGCCTCTTGAACCGTCTGGAGGCAAACTTGAGCCGTCCGGAGTCGATCCTGGGCCATGTTGGAAACAATTTGGGTACATTTGAGCTCTATTGTCGCGTTGTGGGCCGTCTTGGAGACCTCTGGGGCCATCTGACCCCTATCGACCGATCGGTCGATCCGAGAGAAGGGACAGAGCAGCCGTTCTCTCTAGTGAGGTAATCGGATAGACGTCCCCCAAACTCCTCTCGGCCACGTCTCCAGGAAACCCGTTTTGAAGTTATCAGACCTTTTTTTGGTTTGGGCGGCGCATCCCGCGGGCGAATGACTTGATGTTGATTTTGGAAAGACACGTTCTGTGGTCGCTTGAAGGGGGAGGGGGTGGAACCGGACCCCCCCCCCTCCCGTGACGGAGTGGGGGGGGGTTCGAACCCCCCCAACCCTTCTTTTGCTTCTCCTCTCTCCCTCTCCTCGGGCCAGCGCCATCGTCGGCGACGGCTGGCGGCGGCGGCGGGGGTGGTGGTGGTGGTGGTGGTAGTGGCGGTGGTGGTAGTGGTGGTGAGGTGTTTTGTGGTGGTTGTGGTGGTGGTGGTGAGCTGTTGTGATGGTGGTGGTGGCTGTGGTGGTGGTGGTTGTGTGGTGGTTTCGTGGTGGTGGTGGTGGTGGTGGTTGGTTGAGGTGGTGATGGTGGTGGTCGTGGTGGTGGCGGTGGTGGTGGTGGCGTGGTGGTTTGTGGTGGTGGTGGTGGTAGTGGGCTCTGGTGTTGGTGGTGGTGGTGCTGCTGGTAGTGGTGCTGGTGGTGGTGGTGGGGGGTGGGTGGTGGGTGGTGGTGGTGTTGGTGGTAGTGGTGGTTGTGGTGGTGGTGTGGTGGTTTGTGGTGGTGGTGTTGGTGGTGGTAATGGTGTGGTGGTTTGTGGTGGTGGTGGTGGTGGTGGTGGTGGTGGTGGTGGTGGTGGTGGTTGTGGTGGTGGGTTGTGGTGGTGCTGTTGGTGGTGGCGTTTTTGGTGGTTTGTGGTGGTGGCGAAGTGGTTTGTGGTGATGGTGGTGGTTGTGGTGATGGTGGGTTGTGGTGGTTGTGGTGGTGGTTGTGGTTGTGGCGGTGGTGGTGGTGGTATTGTGGTCTGTGGTGGCGGCGGTGGTGGTGGTGGTGGTGGTGGTGTGGCTTTCGGCTCTTCCCGCCACTGTGCTTTGGCAAAGGGTCAGAGTTCTGATGGATGCCTCGTGAGGTCTCGTCAGAGGGGTCTCGGGGGCGTCTGAGGAGCATGCGAGGGCTTGATATGGCGATTTGTGTGTTCCCTCTGCGGCCTCTGGGCCCTCTCTGGTCATCGTCGCTGCGTCCCCGCCGCCCGCCGTCGGCGCTGCTGGCCGCCGCCAGCGCCGGCGCCGGCGCCGGCGCGGGCGGGGGGTTGAACCCCCCCCTTCTGGGCTCTCTCTGGTCATCGTCGCTGCGTTGGCGCTACGGCGGCCGCCAGCGTCGGCGCCAACCGCCCCCCTTTGGGAGAGGGGGGGGGGGTCGGGAGGGGGGGTTAGGGGGGAGGGGAGTCCCCCTGGTTCTGATCGACGGCGCCGAGTGCTGATTTCGACACATCCACCCCCAACGGAGGAAGTCGCCAGGGAATCTGGTGGCCCACTTGGATTCATTTTTTGATCCCACCCGCGCCAGACAAGCAATGCCAGGGAAGGGCTCTATATTGTATATTCTAATTGGGCTGGTTTATACCTTGACGCCCTCTTTGGGGCGCCCGCTTCTAGGAAACGGGTGATGGGTATCGCACGCACGTATGTGAGGCAAACGCGCCCCTTCTGTTTACGACGCTGCATGTTCAAACTGATGGGAAAGATTGCACCAATGGAGCCAATAGTGCACGCTCGAGATCGTCAACTGACCACTACTACGACACCTGAGCTTCGGCGCTCCGGCGCCCCCGCCGAGCTCTTAGAGGGCCGCCCCCCCGGGGCGCACATCGGCGCTTACCGTCTTGGCTCGAGCCGCCCCGTCGGCCCCAGCGGCACACAGAGGAGGAGGAGGAGGAGGAGGAGGAAGAGGAGGAGGAGGAGGAGGAGGAGGAGGGAGGAGGAGGAGGAGGAGGGAGGAGGGAGGAGGAGGAGGAGTTGGAGGAGGAGTTGGAGGAGGAGGAGGGAGGAGGAGGAGTTGGAGGAGGAGTTGGAGGAGGAGGAGGAGGAGGAGGAGGAGGAGGAGGAGCCCCCCGCCCAGTGGTGCGGGCCCAGGCGCGCAGCCCGCGGCCGCCGCCCCGCATGCTCGCCTGGCTGCGGCGGGCCTTGCCCGGTGCATGCCCCCGCAGGGGCCCGGAGCCGCCGGCGCCGCCAGCCCACGCCGCGCCGGAGGGCCTGCCACTGGTCACGGTGAGGGCCGTGAGCGGCAGGCCCAAGCGGTTGCCCGTAGGAGCGACCCTTGGCTGGAGTGACCCCCAGGATTTGGGCAAAGGTCCCGCGTCCTTGGCGAAGCCAGACTTTCTCCACATCGTTGTGGTTTTCTTCTCTGCCGCGTCGCACCCGCGTCTCCTCCCCCCTCTCCTTCTCCTTCTCGCTTGCACTTCCCCCTCCGTCTCTCTCGCACAGCTCGCAAAGCGTGGCAGGCGCGGCACTTTCCCGACACCAGAGGGGGTGCGCAGGGGGGGGTTCAGTGTGGCCTCTATGCGTGCCGGGGTCTGAGAGCGTGGCAAGCGTGACATTTTCTCGACACCAGAGGGGATGCGCACGGGGTGGGGACGCTATGCGCTTCAGGCTCGCAGTGCGTGGCAGGCGTGGCATTTTCTCGACAGCATCGGGGGTGCGCAGGGGGTGGTCTCTGAGCGCGGCCGCTATGCACGCTGGTCGTGCAGGGCACAGTAGGCGTGGCACTTCTTCGACACCGAAGGGGGTGCGCACGGGGTAGTCTTTGAGCGCGGCCGCTAAGCACGCCAGACGCGCAGTTCATAGCAGGCGTGGCATTTTCTCGACACCATGGGGGTGCGCAGGGGGGGGTCACTGATCAGGCGATCGCAAACATGGATTAAGGGGCCGTGGATTAGCGACGGGTCCCGTTCCCAGAGGAAATCGCGGATTCCCGCCGCCGAACGGGGCGGCACCAGCCGCATTTTGGGGAGGGCACCTCCCCCGATCCATGGATTTGGCGACCGCGCGCCAAATCCATGGATCGCTAATCCATGTTTGCGCGCCCCCGATCTGAGCGCGGCCGCTATGCACGCCGCGCGGGGCATAGCAGGCGTGAAATTTTCTAGAAACCATAGGGGGTGCGCAGGGGGTGGTCTCTGAGCGCGGCCCCTATGCACGCCGGTCGTGCAGGGCATGGCAGGCGTAGCATTTTTTCGACACCATGGGGGTGCGCAGGGGGGGGTCTCTGAGCGCGGCCGCTACGCACGCCGGTCGCGCAGGGCATAGCAAACGTAGCATTTTCTCGACACCCTGGGGGGTGCGCAGGGGGTGGTCTTTGTGCGCGGCCGCTATGCACGCCGGCCACTGGACATAGCAGGCATAGTACTTTCTCGACACTAGGGGCTGGTCTCTGAGCGCGGCCGCTATGCACGCCGGTCGCGCAGGGCATAGTACGCGTGGCACTTATTCGACACATCGGGGATGCGCAGGGGGGGGTCTCTGAGTGGCAGGCGTGCCATTTTCTCGACACCGTAGGGGGTGCGAACGGTGGTCTTTGAGCGCGGCCGCTATGCACGCCGGTCGTGCAGGGCATATCAGGCGTGGCGCCCTCTCGACACCATAGGGGGTGCGCAAAAGGGGTCTTCGAGCGCAGCCGTCATGCACGCCGGTCGCGCAGGGCATAGCAGGCGTGGCGTTTTGTCGACACCATAGGGGGTGCGCAGGGGGTGCGGTGTCCCAGGGCATAGCGCGCGTTGTTTTTTTTCGAGGCCGCAGGGGCACGCAAGCGGGGGGGCGCTATCATAACCATCCAGAACTGCAGCCACCTTGGCTCATGCAGGCTCAGGCTGCTCGATACATGAACGCGGACGACCGCCGGTGACCCTCCGTCAAAGGTACGGTCCCCGTCATGGCGCCCAAATGCGCCACGTCCGCGCTGCCACCGCCGTGCAAGCAGCTCCAGAAATCAATTAATCATAGAGATGGGCGCCGAGGTGAACCTGGATGGCTTGCGCAGATATGTCGTCGGGCATGGGAACGTCTTGGTGCACAACGCATTTGATACTTACCACAGACAGCTGGCAACCTGGTGGCCTGAAACGCTCTTCACTAGGTACACTGAGTTGCCGCGTGGACGTGGTGCCGACGATGCCTGGAGGCAGTGGTTGGCTAGGTACTTGCTTAACCCTTCGTCTGCATCATTCGCGCAAGTTTCACGCCAGCTATCATCACGCCAGACATGCTGTAAGTACGTGGAGACCACCCCAAACGCCGCGGATCTGGGCACAGCTCGTGCCCGCGGTGACGTCGGCCAGGCCCTCAAACCTGCGCGACGAGCGAAGCCCTCGGCGCGGCGGGGCAGCGCTCGGCCTTCCACCCGGGTTCCAGCCGCCCCGTCGGCCCCAGCGGATCACAGAGAGGAGAGGAGAGGAGAGGAGGAGGAGCAGTTGGAGTTGGAGTTGGAGGAGGAAGAGTTGGAGGAGGAGGAAAAGGAGGAGGAGGAGGAGGAGGAAGGAGGAGGCGAAGGAGGAGGCGAAGGAGGAGGAGGAGGAACAGGAGGGAGGAGGAGGAAGAGGAGAAGGAGGAGAAGGAGGAGGAGGAGGACCAAGAGGGCGAGACAGGGGCCCCCCCCGTGTCGGCCTGCGCGCTTGGATTTCGCCAACCCGTGGCCCCCCAAAGCCGCGCACCAAAGGCCACTCTTGCCCAGGGTCACTCTTGCGTGTAGTCGAGCGGTGGCGAAGCGTCCCAGTGTGCTCGTAGGCCCTCCAGAGGGAGAGATTTGTCCAAAGAACTTCCTGATACGATGTGTAAAGAATAGACGACCGTTACCCTGGAAAGTGGGGGGAACGGTAACGCTTGGGCGGGGTGGGGCACGTCGGTGCGGCGTTGCGTTGCGATCGCCATGTGGATATGCGCGCGTATGCACGCGAGCACACGCATGTGGGGGGGGTCGAGGCCCACCCCCTACGTGCGACCGTTGCGGTCACCTTGCGGGGGCGTGGGGAGAGGGCCCGGGTAAAAATCGTGACGCGCCAGAGGAAAAAGCAACAACCTCTCGGTGGTTTGCACGAAGTGCTATTTGAACACTACTGGCTGGAATAGCTTTATTTCAGGCCCGGAGGCCCTATGTTCTGAGGACCGTGTTCTTGTTATCAGAGCGTTCTTCAGTTCAAAGGACATGTCGTGGTGGGCCTACAGAAGTGCTGGGACGGTCGACCCATGCTTAAGCAGGGAGCTCGCGTCGCTGCCAGTGCCGCCAGGCGCGCGGGTGTCCGAGCTTCAGGCGTCGCCACGGGGGAAAGCCCTGTATTCGGATCCGCCGTACTGTGGCTGATGCTCCGACTCAAGATGAGACGGTTTATCTTATCGCATGGCGATACAAGGCGTGACCGGGGAGGGGGAGAGGGGGGGAAGGGGGTTGGTCACGTCACGGTTCGCGCCAGCGCAGTTTGGGAATGCTTAGGAACGGTTGATTCCCACACGGCGCCGGCGCGAATCGTGATGTGACCGTGAAGGGGGAGGTGGGGCGGGCAGGTTATTGGCGCTATCGTGAGTTATTGAAAATGGTCTTATCTGGTTGATTTTCCGACTTACGGTTGCGTCGGAGATGCACCCCAAAGGAAGCGAAACATTAGGGCGGATATCTCCGTTGGAGGAAAAGTCTGGCGGATTGGTCCTCAAATTACGGCGGGAACAGCGACAGAAAAGTAGGGCCGAAGTCGCCATCAGAAGAGTTGTTTCGAAAGTAGGGCGGCAGCTTCCGCCCTGCTTGCGAGATCGTCCAAAGTACGGCTGACCTGAAGGCAGGGAGGGTTCTTGAGGGGGAGGGGGAGGGTTCCCGAGGGGAAGGGGTCCCGAGTCTCCGTCCGCGCGCCGGGGCCTCCCCGGGCCCTCCGCTGCCAACAGGCGACTCGGGACGAAGAGCCGTTTATTCAAGTCGGGCACGTCCCTTTACAGGACGGATATTCCGAATGTGTCATATTTCAATCCAATTATACAGATACAAATATACATACATATATATATATATGTGTATGTATATAGAGAGAGAGGACGATGCTTCGATTATTTTTCATTCGTTCTGAATTATATATTTGAGTACTGTTTAAACTTTAAATTGGGCATGTCGGCATGTCCCTCTACAGGACGAATATCCCGAAATAGTAAAAATAGAATATGAGGAAGATGGTTATATTACATGTCACTATGTTTGAATAGTGTTTTATTTCTGTCTTCCAAAATCCGTCTGTAGGGGGGCATGCCCGACCTGAAGCTGTTTTCCGAGGAACAATTAACTAATTGTACAAACATGAGCTTTCGGAGATTCGCGCTGATTTCTTGCATCGGCGCTGGACCCCCCTTTGCGGCGACGGATGCGCCACCAGGGGGCTTCCGCATCGATCCGAGGAATCAGCGCTGGCCTTCAAAAGTTGATGCTTATTAAGTTTTCGGCGGCGAGCCCAGGAGGGAAGTGAGAGGGGGCGAGCCCTCTCAGAAGGCTCGGAATGCCTCGGGCCTCCTGAGAAGTTGTCTAGGCCTTCCCCGAAGGCGAGGGCTTCTGGGAAGCCCTGACGCCTTCTGAGAAGGTCTGCCCGCTCTCACTTCCCTCCTGCGTTCAAGGACAGTCTGCCCGCGTGGTCTGAGGGGGTAGAGTCAAGTTCTACTAGCGCAAGCTGCGCGGGCTGAAATCCCGCGGCTGTCATCTTATTGGCCTGCAAGTGGCTTGGCGCCTTTGCTCGCAGGGAAACGAGCAATGTCATAAACTTACAGACATCCGCGCGGATTTCTGGGATCGGCGCTGGACCCCCCTCCCTGATCCGCGCGGACCTCCGAAGTTTTATGTCCATGCCATTCTCCGTTCCCCGAAAGTTCCCCGCGGCCAGGGGCCGCGAGAGGAGGTCCAGGCCGGCGCTCAAAAGGGCCGCGGCTCTCGCACACCCGAGTGGGCTTCGTCGATCCTGTGCCCCTGCCCGTGAGAAAAAAGAGGCACCTGGACTGCACCGCCTCTGCCCCGAGCCCACGGGGGCCGCCTCCCCGCGAAGCCCGCCTCCCCGCGAAGCCCAGAGGTGGCGCTCGCGAAGGCCGCCGGCGTGCCGCCCCACCGGCAGCGGCTGCTGCACGGGGGCGATAGCGCGTTGCGCCCGGACGCCCTGGCCGCGGAGGCCGCCTGGCGCTGCGCAAGGGGGGGGGGGGCGAAGAGAGGCACAGCCAGGCAGGATCGCGTCGCAAGGAGAAGAGAAGCAGGACGGGCAATTTTTGGTCAGTTTCGGCCTCGGGGGGCCCTCGCCGGGCCTCGGGACCGGCAAACAACGGCTCGGGATGAGAAAGCGGCCCCGGAGAAAGGGTCGGGACTTCCACAGGGACCCCGCACTGAAAAGATCAGGACGTCGCATGTCTGGGCAGTCAATCCGTGTAGTTAGGATACGCGGTAAGGATGCAAGGACCTTGGAGGCCCATGTGAACGTTTTTTGAACGAGGTTGGCCAGCGAGAGTCGCAAAGGACGGGCCGAAGCAGTACGGATGCAAAGATACCCTTGGGAAGGTTGCCTATCCTTACAAGGCGGGCTGACTGTACACATCCTGTGCCCTCAAGGGGCCCAAAGGGCCCCGTGGGGCCCAAAAGGAACACTGAAGGTGCACGTGTCTTCGCCACCCCATGTGCCGCCCCCCCATTTGGCAACGCCCAAGGCCGGCCTGGAGGGCCACGGGGCGGCGGTGACGCTGGTGGTGCTGCCAGAGGACATCGGTAATGCTTAAAGCTTGGGGCTACGCACAGACAGGCCCCCCCGGGGCAGTCTCAACACCACGGCGACGCCTCCAGCGGCGCCCCTGGTGCGCAGAGCGCCCCGGGGCTTTGTGTCGATACTGGCCCTGGCTATTCGGGGTGCCTGTTGAGGCCAGCTGGGACTACTGGGGGAGCCCGTTGAGGCCAGTTGAGCGACTCACCGCAACGGGGTCGTCTGCGCCGACATTGGCGCGCAAGCTGCCCGCGTCAGGTCGCGCGCAAGCGCCCTCGCTTCAAGTGTGGCGCGCCGCTCTAGCGGCCCGCGTCAGCCACCGCGTGAGGCCGCTCTGCCATCTCGCGCACGACCCATTTGTGACGATCGCCGCTCAGCCCCAGACATGCGACGTCGTGATTTTGTCAATACGGGGTCCCTGTGGAAGTCCCGACCCTTTCTTCAGGACCAGTTTCTCATCCTGAGTCGTTTTTTGCCGGTCCCGAGGCCCGGCGAGGGCCCCCCGAGGCCGAAAATGACCAAAAATTGCCCGTCCTGATTTTTTAACTACGCGATCATGTCTGGGGCTGGGACTGCCGGGGTGGGGGGGCCTGTCTGTGCGCAACCCGAGGCCTTACAGTGGAGGCCCATGCCAAGAAACACCCTGTTTGCCTGCAGGGTGCCCTGGGTCTCTTGGGTTTCGACGGTCTTGCTATGGAAAGCGTGCCGTTCCTACACCAAAACTCGATGGACGTCCTGGGGTCTCCGGGTTGGGTTTCTTATGGAAGGTTTCTTGTGGTCGGGCCTCCATTGTTTTGCCATCGCTCGGCGACGACCATCGAGGAGCATCCTTGATCATCGAGCCGAAGAGAAAACGCACGAAACCGAAAAATGCACGGGGAATGGACGTCCGAGCGATGGCAAGCTGTACCACCGGAGGACATGCTGATCTCCGCCTCGGCCGACCACACCGCCAGGCTCTGGAGCGCGTCCACGGGACAGTGCCTCGGCGCGCTCCGCGGGCACCGCGGCTGGGTCTTCGGCGCGGAGCTCTCGCCCGCCGGCGACCGCGCGCTCACGGCGTCCCAGGACTGCACCGCTCGCCTCTGGAGCCCAGTGAAGGAAGAGGCATGACACCGCCACCTTTTGAGGCGGGCACGTCCCTCGACGGGAGGAGTATTCAAGAGCAGCCGAACATTAGTCTGGGGACGATGTTTCGACTGTTTGAGGCTATGTTTGAACATGTGCTGCCTATTTTGAGTTGTTCGTCCAAAATCCGCCTGTAGGAGGACATGCCCGACCTAAGGCCACCCTTGCCTCGTTTCCGCCTCTGCGGGCCTCGCTGCCGCGGCTCGGTTCGCCCCGGAGTCCCGGCCCGGGCGCCCCCTGCGAGCGGCCCAGGGAGCGGCGGCACCGGTGCCCTGCGGCCTCCCCAGGAGCACGTCCGACGGCGGCTGCCTGCACGTCCTCTCGGGCCACTCCCACGAGGTGAGGACGGCCGTGTTCTCCGCGGACGGCTCGCGGGTGGCCACGGGGTCCGTGGACAAGACGGCCAAGCTGTGGTGCGCCGCGGGCGGGGCATGCCTGCACACCTTCCGGGGCCACGAGCACTTCGTCCACGGCGCCCGCTTCTCCCCCGCGGGCGCCCGGCTGCTCACCGTCTCGGAGGACCGGACCGCCAAGCTGTGGGACGTCGTCGAGGGCCGGTGCCTCCTCACGCTGCGCGGCCACACGGAGGCAGTCAGCGGCGGCGCCTTCTCGGCGGATGGCGCCATGGTCGTCACGGCGTCGCGGGATCGCACGGCCGGGGTGTGGAGCGCCGAGAGCGGCGTGTGCCTGCACTGGCTCCAGGGCCACACGGGCTTCGTGCGCTCGGCGGAGTTCTGCGCCCGCGGGACGCACGTGCTCACCACCTCGTCCGATGGCTCGGCCAGGCTGTGGAGGTCAGCGGACGGCTGGGGCCTCGGGAGCGTCAGCGGAGGCGAGGTCGTCAGCTCCGCCTCCTTCTCGCCAGGGGGCGACTCTGTGGCCACCGTCACCGTCGATGGGGGCGCGAGGCTGTGGAGCGTGAGCAACCCAGGCGAGAGGATCCAGACCTTCGGCGCCAGCACGCGGGTGCTCGTTCGGGCCCCCATGCGGGTGAGACACGCCGCGCCACTGCCCAGCGTCTTCTCGCCGGACGGCGCCCTGCTGCTCACCGGAAACCGCTCCGAGGTCCGATTGTGGAGCGTGGCCACTGGGGCCCTGCTGCACACGTTGCCCTGGCACAGCGCGGAGGTGCTGGCGCTGGCGTTCGCGCCAGGCTTTCGCGCCTCCGCCGAGGTGGAGATGCAGGCCCGGTCGGCGGCCGAGCGCGGACAGGCGGAGGGCGTCGACTAGCCCGCGCCCTGGCGAAGATGCCTTGGCATGGCGTCTTGGAGGCGCTGGCGCTGGCAAGCGCGCCAGGCTTTCGCGCCTCCGCCGAGGTGGAGATGCAGGCGCAGTCGGCGGCCACGCGCGGACAGGCGGACAGGCGGAGAGGGTCGACTAGCCCGTGGACGGGCCAGCGGAAGTGCCCCGGCTCAGCGCCGCGGAGGTGCTGGCGCTGGCAACACGCCAGGTTTTCGAGACTCCGCCGAGGTGGAGATGCAGGCGCAGTCGGCGGCCGAGTGCGGACAGGCGGAGGGCGTCGACTAGCCCGCGGACGGGCCGGCGAAGGTGCCCCTGCCCAGCGCCGCGGAGGCGCTGGCGCTGGCGTGTGCGCCAGGTTTTCGCGCCTCCGCCGAGGTGGAGAAGCTGCATGCCAGCGCGGACGGCGGCTGAGTGCGGCCGGGCGGATGTCTGGGCCACGCAGGGAGCCCGCGGGCCCGGCGGGCCCAGGTGCAGTTTCGGCACCCGCGGTCCTGCTCGGCGGCGCAGGGTCGGTCGAAGAGGGCTGCGCTCGGCTACCACCCTCCGCCCGATTCCTCCTCCTCCGCCTCCTCCTCCTGCGGGATACGGTTGAACGCACACACACACACACACACATCTACACACGCGTATACACACACACACACGCGCGCACACACGCAACACCAAACATCGACCTGTGCATCATGGAACGCATGCCTGGTTCCATCGGGGCCGCGCGCCCTTCCCAGTCAGCGTACCGCAGCCGAGGCCGCCATGGGCGCGCTCGGCGCCGAGGCCGCCGCCGCGGCCGCCAGCAGTGACATGCGCGCCGGGCCCGGCGGGCTGCTGGGCGCACCGGTGCGCAACGCCACTTCTTCTCCGCCAGTCGACGACGGCGACGACAACGGCGGCGAGCACGACAACGATATCGGCAGCGACGGCGGCGACGGCGGCGGCGACGACGACGACGGCGGCGGCGGTGACGACGCCTTTGACGCGGACGCTGGCGACGGTGACGGCGACGACGGCTTTGAAGTTGATCGCTTGCTTGAGCCTGCTGGGGCGCCCTCGTGGCCGCGACTGGACGCAGCTCGACAACCTGTTCACACCCTGGGACGCGTTCAATGGGATAGATATTGCGCGTTCCCCTTTGCCTACGATGGTTCAAACTGTGATGCGAGCGTGTAGTTGGGTTCTGGGATAGATATTGCGCAAGCAGTGTGATGCAGGGGACCAGCCATGGGACACGATCTGAGCTGCCCAGATACGCCCGTGTTGAAACGCAAAGCGTACCATGTTCGAAACGTCCGTGCGAACACGCTGTGTGTTGGCTCGGCACGTGCTGGCCCACGTTTTGGCGAACGTACAGCGCCAGACCTGCGTTTTCAGTCTACGTGTTGAGCACCGTGCCAGCACGCCACGGGCTGCGTGGTACACATCGGAGTGGGAGCAGAGGACGCGCAGGCCAGAAATGGAGCGCGGATGCTCCTGGCCGTCGTCGTGTACAGACACGTGGGAAGATACAGTGCGCACGCGCATGCCGTGCACAAAGCACCGGGCCGGCGCAGGCTCACGGCTGCTCCTCGAGCGCCCGCACAGCGAGCTCCATCTTGAGCCACGACCCGCACAGGCCAGCTCCGCGCCGCAGCCCCGCCGGCGCCCCCCCAAGCTCGGGTGTGGCCTTTTTTCGGCCCGGCAGCACACAGACCTGGCATCGCTTGGACGTGTGCATGTCTTCCTCGGCGAGAACCATCGAGGACCATCCTCGACCAACGAGCAAAACAAACACGCACGAAGCCGAAAAATGCACGGGAAATGGACGTCCGAGCGACGGCGAGCAGACCTCCCAGGGGACCAGGTTAGTGGTAGGGCCCCGGAGCCTTCGCATTGGCCAGAATCATTAGACCAGGTTTGCCACAGCTGGTGTTTTTTCGGGCGGCGGCGGTTCCGGTTCGTGGAAACGGGACGGGGGGGCGCCCCCGGTACAGATCACTAAACCAGGTTCCGCTAAACCCAGTTCTGCCAACGCCCAACAAGCGTGGCGTGCCGGCCCGGCAGCCCCGACCTCCCGCGCCGGGGCTCTTCGGCCGTGGCGCTCTCTCGCGACCCGTCTTCCACGAGCGACGTGCTCGGCCCCTGGGCTCAAGTCGGGCCTGTCCCCCTGCAGGGGGATTGTCGACGAAAAATAAAAAAAGATACCCCGAAAATAGTCAAAAAATTATCCAAAAACGCTCTGGGGATTATTTTTTGAGTATTTGTTGACCTTTTGGGGGTATGTTTGGGGTACTTTTTAATTTTCCGTCAAACTCCCCCTGTAGGGGGACAGGCCCGACTTAACCCTGGGCCCACCAGGAACAGTGAAGGGGCCCCAGGACACACAAATAAATACACACAAATAAAAATATTCCCCATATTTTATCATATTTTCTGGGTTTCTGTCTTCCCGCGCACTTCCCATATTTTCCCATATTTTCTGGGGAATCGAGGATGAATTGTGTCTGTGTGTTGTTTCCTCTCCTGAAACAGGAGGAGTCAGTCGGGGCGGACAAGAGAGCGGCCCCGGGGAACGGGCCGAGGGCCCCAGCGCGCCACGGACTGGCGTGGCGGTGCAGCCGGAGCTCTCTGGGCGAGCGGGGCCAACGGCGGCCCATCCTCGACTAAACGTAAGAGTGACCTTTGGCCGGAGTGCGAGATGTGGTGCTTGGGTATGAGTATCAAAATGAGTTTTGGCGATGGTCTTGAGTATGCGCATGCACTTACATGGGCATGATCACGAACATGTACATGAGTCGGAGTATAAACGGGATGATGTTGTAAAAGAGGGGCAGAGGTCGTGCAGGAGGAATATCATCCACAGGAGGCGCAGGTGCAGGAGCAGGGGTGGGATCAGAACCTGAAGCAGACGCAGGATAAATAATTTGATCACGAGTCCGTGGAGGCGAAGCCAGATGCAAGAATAAGGAAATGTTGTTGCGTACGCACAACCAGCACTCACATGAGGAGACGGAATCCTTCGTCGTATCACGCTTCCGGGCATGTCCACGATGATTACGTTCGTTGCTCGGGTGTGTGTTGAGTTGGTGGCAGACTTCTGGCTACGATCGGCGGCGCACGCTGCACGACATCATCGCGATGATCGTAGTCGTCTGCGCATTCCTCCCAGAACATCTTACATGTATGGGCTCTGGCGCGCTTGGAAGCGAACGCTTGGAAGCGAACGCTTGCGACGTTTTTCGTGGGTTTTGGTGTCACGCTGATTTGTGACGACGCAACGAAATTCATTGGCATATCTTTCGCCATGCCGCATTTTCTGCGTGTGAAACCTGCGCGGCATTCAAACCGACGCCCTACTGAATGAGGATTCAATGGAGGTGAAGTCAATAATCGGCCATCGCGGTCGGTTGATGGGTGCACGTGTGCGGAACCGCAGGGTATGCAATTTGATTCACATAGCTGTTCATGTGCGCTTGGATCTACATCGCTGTTTGGCGTTGTTTGGCGTGTCGTGACTCCCTCACGGTCTTCACGCAGGCCGTGCTGAATGACACCGTCTCCGTAATAGCGATGCACGGAGTTGTGTATTGGTTTTGGTATTGAGGTGTTACCAGAGTTCATGTCACTATTACGGCCGTCCTGCTTTCGAGGCACGCTATCATAGTCTTGCGGAAGCCCTCGACGTTGTAAATTAGGATTGGCCTGTCGGTACCAAGTGCGCTGGTCCTCCAGATTTTGGTCGTCCACACCGCGATGCTGGTTTCCAATTGGCGTGTCCAGGGACGCTATAGTTCTACATGTTTTTGGTTGATCACCTATTGTTAGCGGTGCTCCCTTGTATCCGTCCCTGGTTTGTTCACCGTTCATCGGGTCCAGACTTGGTGCCGGTGCATATGATTAGTGTGTTACTTCTGGTCCACATCGGGCGACCTTTACCGCAGTTGCTTGTCGCCTCGTGCCCACAGGATGGCGACGATATTGTAACTTCCGTTGCTGTGGACAGTAATTTTGAATATGGTTGGGTTTGGCCCTCCTACACTATTTCCGTTGTCCGTGCCCAACAGCTTTGATTGTGCAAGAGATTGTGCAAGTGATTGTAGGGATGATGGCGTAGCCGTCTACACCGACGCTGCTTGGGATGCGCACTGCACTAAGATATGCCAGGATAGACCTTGAGTTGGTGGTGCTCGGACATGCCCCCATTTCCCCACAATATTTATGGACATGGCTGCAAGTTCCGCCACATTGCTCACCGTCGTCCTGGCAATCGTGGCGTTGGCGGTTCCCAGAAGGTATTCTTAGCACGGCTGCGCAGAAGTCGCGGCGACGGCGACTAAGCCGCGGCGATTGCTTGTTCAGTCTTTGGCCCCCTCCAGCTGGCACCCTCGTGGGGGACAAGAGGGAGGTGGTGGGTGGGGAGAGTGGGCATTGGGCGGCGAGGCGCGCTCGTGTCATATCTGACGTCCTACCCATCCTAGCCTGTTCCTTTTGCGTTTATCCCCTCTCTATTCGCCATCGCAAGTGTCGGGTAAGACGTTGACCTCGAACAGGCACCCGAATCGAAAAGCCACGAAACAACGAAGCATTGCACAACAGAAAACCCCAACCATTAGAGTTTGATGTTCTCGTTGACACCCCACGCCTGATTGTCCTCTCTCATCTTCTCTCTCTCGCTCTCTCTCTCTCTCTCTCGCTCTGTCTTGTTGTTGTTCTCTCTCTCTCTCTCTCTTTTTTCTCTCTCTCTCTCTCTCTCTCTCTATCTCTCTCTCTCTCTCTCTCTCTGTATATGCATAGATGTAAGTATCAGTATGCTATGTTTACTGTTGCGCATGTCTTCCCAATTCGCTCTGCACTCCACTGTATCATACGTGAGTTATCCCTACGTGTTTAGTGTATAGTGTGCTCTTTCTCTCTCTCTCTCTCTCTCTCTCTCTCTCTCCCCCCTCAAATCTGGTCTAGATTCGCTTACATACACACACACTATGTGCTTACACAGTCCACTCTACCACTACGGTATAATACATAAATATGCATATAAGTATGTATAACTAGTAGATCCAAGTGCGCGCACATCACTATGTACAGAATATGGGCACACATGAGTCAATGCGCGTAAAAACTGCCCACACACGTATACAGATGTACGTGTGAATGCAGACGCATACAAACGTACATGTACACATACAAGCATACATACATACGTACATACACATACATACTCATTTATACACATGCATGCAAACATACGTGCATGCATACATACAGGCATATATGCAAGCAGGCGTACATGCATGCATGCGTGCGTGCATACATACATGCACACATGCAAACGTAGATGCATGCATACGTACATGCATGCATGCATGCATGCAGACATACAAGAAATAGCAGCCGGCATGCATACATGCATGCATGCATACATGTATACATGCATACCAACATATATACACGTATACATACATACGTGCATGCCATGCATGCATGCATGCATGCATGCATGCATGCATACATACATACATACATACACACATACATACATACATACATACATACATACATACATACATACATAATAGATAAATACATACATACCATACATGCATGCATACATACACATATGTACATGCATACATGCATAGATACGGATACCTCAACATCTGACGGGGGACTGGGACTGGGAGGGCCTTGGGCCGGTACCACGACCACTAATCTGAGACCCGGTGCGTCGGGCCCAGTCTTGAGAGGCCCCGTTTCGCCTCGAGCCACCCCCAAGACGGCTGCCAGGGGTCGCAGACGGCTCAAGAGAGCCTCCAAATGTTTTAAGAGACGCTCAAGACAGCCCACGGAGACCTCCAGGACATATCCGACACACCAACTAGTATCAGCCAGCGTTGGTTCGAATAATAAGTTGCTATACACTACGGTGGCTACAGGGTCATTACACTCGACCAAGCCTGCAGCGACCTCCCCAAGGTCAACAGGACGGTGCTGGCAGGCTGCTCATGTGCGACGGGGCTCGCCAAGCTCTTGCTCTGCCGCTCTATCAAGAAGGTTGCGGCAAAGCACGTCAGCGTCAGGCTCAGCAACGTGGTAGACGATTTCACCCTGCTATGAGTTGGTCGCCGAGAGGTCTTGGCCTGCGAGCTCCCAGGCAGCTTTCGCGACTTCCCCCAGAGCATGAAAGAGTAAAAGCTACTGGTTCAGATGGGCAAGCTCTGCTACCTCACGAAAAACCCACGGTGGTCACAACCCTCGAGGATTGTTAGCTGGGCGACAACGACGGCAGGGTCATCAGCGGCAGGAGCTTCGGCTGCGACATCCAAGACGGGAGGCGGGGGGCACTCAGCACGGCAGCGGCCAACGCCTCCGGGCAGCAGGAGCGGAGGCCGCCTCAGTGCAGCGCGGAGGCCCCACAGCCGCAGCAGTATAGGGATCAGCCACCATTGGGCTGGCCCCAACGGTGCTGCACTGTCCCCGGGTCTCAGAAGCCAGGACCGAGGGCAAGTTGGCAGCAGGGGCCTCGTTGAGGCTACGTCTCCGCTGCTTCCTAAAGAGCCTGCGAGAGACCCAGCTGTCATCAACGCGGGCCTCGTGCTCAAGGAGTACACGGCATGCTTCTGGCACGGTTAGGCCGCGAAATTCTTCCTTGACACCCTCGCCACCAAGGCCAAGGGCTTGCTGCGGAGGGCCCAGCGGCCATGTGTTCAATGCAGGGACACCTTTGCGGCAGCGGTGCTCACCATGGACAGGCTGAGATGGGAGATGCAGGACAGCAGACACATCACCACCGACGCTGGCCTGCAGTTCGACCTTTTTAGGGATATCCCCAGCGCTGGCCCAGGAGATGACGACTGAGAGGTGGTCAGACAGGACGTCCATGCGGGCCCGACGCCTTCCTCCCACAACGGATTCTTTTACTGGGGACCTCTTCAGGAAGCTCGGCAAGCTACGACCCCAGCAGGGTGGGAGACAGCACCAATGCGCAGCCTTCCACTCGCTCATCACGAGCTCCTCGCTGTACCAGGCCAACCTCGAGAAGAGCGGAGCAGCAGCATGTTGAGATTGCACCCTCTGCGAGGCGGCGCCAGAGAACTTTGGGCACAGGCGCCACCAGCGCGACGCCCACGCGGCGCTGCGGTGGACCGAGATGTCGGACGAGCTGCACCCGCACGCCGACACGGCCCAAGCTACTGGGGCCTGGCACGGCGAGCTGTTCGCGAGGTGCCTCTTCCTTTCGATCAGCTACACCATTTCCAGGGGCAACCCTAACGGCGGCCAGGTCTTCTGGCAACACAAGCCAAGCAGTGGTTCCCTGAGCGGGCTGGTCTTCCCCGACGGCAGTGCGGTTGGCACCAGATGGCCCGAGCTGCACCGGGCATGCCAGTCGTAGGTTCAGCGTGATCGCGTCGGACAGGTGGGGGCGGCAGCATACAGCTGGGCCCCGATGGCCATGGCGCCCAGGCCTACCACATGGCGCCCTTCCTCTGCACAGGCCAAGTGGACTTCCAGACCGATTGACAGGGGGCGGCGAAACGCGCTTCACGAGGTAAGGAGTAGGCATGCAGGCCAGCCTCCAGCAGGGCTAACCTGCGGGGTGCCGTCCACGTGGCCCTCGAGGAGGACCGCGGGCACGCGGTCACCAAGGTGCTTGGCCACGCCACGGAGGCGGACATCGATGCTGACAGGTCCACTCACTGGTAGAATGCAGGCAACCAGCACGCCGACATCCACGCGAGGAAGGGCGCCCACCCGGCGCCCCCAGACCACCACTTCGATATCGTTTTCGGCCTCGACGCGGTCGCCAAGGCGGCGATGCCCTACACGGGCAAGCTGCACGCGCACATGGGGGGGGCACAAGATGGGGGACCACGCGGCGGAAATTTTGTTTGGAGGGGAACCCCGCTGCCAGGCGAGGCCAGCCGCGGCGGCTGCAGCGGCCGCAGCGGCAGCAGCGGCAGCAGCAGCCTCAGGCGAAGCTGACAAACCAGATAGGGAGTGCCCAGCCCGAGCGCCCGCAGCCAGCAGAGCAGCGAGGCGAAAGCAGACGAGGCCACCAGCCCCACCAGCAGCCAGCAGCGAGAACGGCGCCCGCCCGTGGGGCTTCAAGAACCGAACGCTGGCCCAGCGGCGCATCCTCGCAGTCCCAGGGCACCCCGCGCCCCTGCCCGACTCGGCGCCCGCCTGCCCGAGGCGCTACAGCTACGGCCACAGCATGCTAGCCAGGTTCGGCCTCCACGAGCGGCGGGGCGCCAGCGGCAGCGCGGCAATCAAGCCCAGGAAGGACGCGTTCAACAGGGGCGCTTGGCCAGATGCCCGCACGGCGGCCAAGAGGACTTGGAGGCTAAGCAGGCCAGGGGCGCCGAGCCAGAGCGGGCAGGATGCCCTCCACAGCTTCGACGACAAGAGGAGGGAGGCGGCCCAGGCAACCCGTGGCACCGCGGTACTTGATCCTCGCTTCCACGACTAGGGGACTGGAACCAGTGGAGAGGCAGCTTCGGCGGGGCGGCGGCATCCCCGGCCCTTGAGCCCGACGTCGACGCCTTCGAGGCAGGCCACGTCGCCCACGGTCGCGCGCAGCGGGTGCGGCATTTCCCCCGAAGTGGTCGAAGGCTTCCACTAGTGGGTGAAGAGACGCGACGCCGCCGGGCCTTCCGCTCCAAAGGCCACCCCGGCGGCGTGCCCCAGGGGGGGGAGCACCAACGGCGAAGAGGAAATTCTAAGCGTGAGGAGGAGGAGGAGGAGGAGGAGGAGGAGGAGGAGGAGGCGGATGGGGAGGAGGAGGAGGAGGAGGAGGAGGAGGAGGAGGAGGAGGAGGAGGATGGGGAGGAGGAGGAAGAGGAGGATGAGTGATTCGGACCTCGCCCCTCGCTCAGGCCAGGGGCCTGAGAGCAGAAGGCCCACGGGATTCGGCCGCGGGCACGCGGCCCCATCTTGACGGGGGATCAGCTGCAGATCCGTGGGTGCTCTGCTCCATCCGACGCTACTCGACCCTACGCATTCGATCCGACTGCACTCTGTTCTATTATACCTTCTTCTACCCCTAGTCTACGCCACGCCTACTGCACTGCAGTTCCATTTTCGAATGTTGTACACGGCCCTCGATTCTGTATTACCCCAGCAAACGAGGCCATGCGGATAGCAGAGGAAGCCATGCGGATAGGTTGGACGAACCTTGGCCTACACGACTCTACTCGGCTCTGTTTTGTTCGATTATTATTTTACAGGAATCCAACTTCATTGTGATTTCAAATACTTTACGCGTAGCAGACGAAATACAGCGGAAAGCCTCTACCACGTTTCTAAATTCATTACATGTGCTAACCCGACTCCCTTATATTTTTAATACGACCCTCTATTCCGTTCTACTCCAGCAGACGAAGCCACGCGGAGATTGGAAGAAGTCATGTAATAGCAATGTTGTGGATATGGTGACGGGTCCTAGCTTACGCTACTCTATTCTTGCTCCACTCCGATTCTCTTTTAATCCTGCTTTTTTCTGTTCTTATGAGACGAAGCCATGCGGATAGACGCCACGCGGATAGTTTGGACGAAGCTATGCGGATAGCAGGGGAAGCCCTGCGCCTAGCTGGGGAAACAATGGTTTGTGCCTTCTTGCCGTTCGCTTGCGGCCCCCACGAGGCCCGCAAGAGTCTCCGAGAGGCCCCCAGGAACCCCGAGAAGCCCCACAAGGCCCCCGAAAAGCTTCCAAGACGCGCCCGAACATGAACCCCCCCCCGCAAAAAAAAAAGAACAGAGGAGGGATAGACAGTGAGGCGCGGCAGGGAGGGAGGGTCAGAGCAGAGCCGGGGAGGCACCATCGAGCGAGCAGAGGCAAGCAGCGCAGCCGCTCGAAGGCGATACACGGGCACGGTGTTCAAGTGGGACGACGACGCTGGCTGGGGCTTCGTGAGCTGCATAGAGGCCAGGAAAGTGTACGGCAAGGACGTGTTCTTGCACAAGGCTCTCACCGCTCCCAGCCTTGGCCACAGTGGGGCGGAGGACTCACCAGCAGGAACTCTCATCGGACAAAGACAAAACAACCTGACGAAGGACACAACCAGATGCAGTTGTGAGTGTCGCAGTTGTGAGGATCGTCGTCGGTGGAACTCTCTATGGCGTCACAAAGCGTGCGAGGGGCGTGCCGATTTGGGGAGGTGGGCGGGTGCATGTGAACCCTCCCTCTGGGACTTTCGGTGGGGCTCCCTATAGGGCCACGAAAAGTGTGAGGGGGGTGCCGAAACGGGCGCGACGCCCACATGCGAACTGCGCCACTGGGACCTTCGGTGGAGCTACCTACGGGGCCACGAAACGTGCGGCGGGGCTACCTATGGGGCCACGAAACGTGTGGGGGGGGTGCCGAAACGGACGTGACGCCCACATGCGAATTGCACCACTGGGACTTTCGGTGGAGCTCCCTATGGGGCCACGAAACGTGTTAGCGGTGTACCGAAACGGGCGTGACACCCACATGGGAACTGCACCATTGGGACCGTCGGTGGAACTCCTTATGGGGCGACGAAACGTGTGAGGGGTGTGCCGAAACAGAGACGATGCTGGGAAAAGCACGTGCTCCCCTTGAGGCCAGTTCTGGGCAGGCGGCCGTCGTGCAGTCGGCCACGCGCAAAACGGGGGTAGGGCGAGAGGGGGAAGACCTCTTAGAAGCAGGCAGCCCTGCTTCTCAGAAGTCGCGGGCACTGCCTGTAGACGTAAGGCCCGTGCTTTCTGAGAAGCGGCTTCCTCCTAAGAGGCCTTCCCCTCTCCCCCTTACCCCCTTGCGCGCGCCGCGCACGGAAGCGGCCCCCGTCCCGAGGCCAGCCCCCGCCACAAAAACCCTTCAGGTGCGACTCTGCAGCCATCCCTGGCCGCCCCCGGCCCTGCTGGCTCGCAGCTCCGACCCGAGGCCAGCCCCCCTGGCCTACACGATGCTGTCCGGGAGCCGAACTATTTGGCATGCAGTGACTTGTTACACGCCGATGACACAATGTTACTCAGCAGCGATTCTGGGAAGCTTCAAACACTATTCAACACAGTCATTGACGAAGGCGCGAGATATGGCTTGGATCTGAATTGGGAAAAATCGAAAGCGTCAACCTGTGCGATCGGCGGGAGGCTGGCACTGCAGCACCGTGGCCAGCACCGCCGGCCTCCCTGCCCCAGCCGCCTGCGGGCTCGCAGCTCGCCCGCCGGCAGCCCCGTGCCCCCGCCTGCGAGGAGGGGGCGGGCACCGCCTCAGGAAGGCCGGGGCCTGGAGGGATGACGGGGGTTGCCCAACTGAGAGGTCGTCGGCACCGCACCGACATATTAGTGCTGTGTGTGGCGCCCCCCCCCCTCCCCAGGGGCGACGCGCGCGCCGAGAAGTCTTGCAGCATGTGCGCCGTTGTGGGTGCTTTCTGGCCACACGGCTCGGGAAGCGAGTTGTTGCAAGATGATGCACGCCTCCGAGGAGGACACGTCGTACTAGTACGTCCTTGTGCGCCCCAGGTCAGTGAGATGGCAGGGTCTTGCTGGCACAGTGAGGTGTCGGAGCCCTGCTCCTCCTCCTCCTCCTCCTCCTCCTCCTCCTCCTCCTCCTCCTCCTCCTCCTCCTCCTCCTCCTCCTCCTCCTCCTCCTCCTCCTCCTCCTCCTCCTCCTCCTCCTCCTCCTCCCCCCCTTCCTCCCCCTCATCCTCCTCCTCCTCCTCCTCCTCCCCCTCCTCCTCCTCCTCCTCCGGGACCTGGCGCCTCTAAAGGAGGAGGAGGAGGAGGAGGACGACGACACGGATTTGGGTCCTCGAGGGATCCAGAACGAGGAAACGGCTAGGAGACTCCTCGTCGTGCTGGGGAATGTGGAGCCCGGGCCGCGAAAATGTCTGATTTCCCTTCGGGGGATCTTGCCATCGCGCGGACATCCCACTGCCAACTCAAAGCGAAGAAAATCTTGCGCTTGCTTAAGCAACCAACTGGCCGTCTCGCAAGCGCGTTGGCGCACAGTACTGTTGGGGGCAAGCTGCTAGTACGTCACGAAGCTTATTCGCACTCTTCTAGAATGCTGTGGCAATGTGTCGAGTTTGATTCATGCGGTTTCTTGGGGTCGCTTACGCTTGTGGCACTGGGTTTGCAAACTGGCGTCCGTCGCCCAAGGGCGTCGCCGCCAGCAGCGGGCGGCTGTGATTGGGGCCTCAAACTACGTTCATCCCCACGAAGGTTTATGATGTTTTAAGAGCGGCCAGTTTCTCACAAATCAAGATGTCGCTCGATGTGTTGGGATTCTCCTGTCAGGAGGGAAAGGAACACACAGACACAATGAATCGTCGACTCCCCAGAAAATATGGAAAAAGATGGGGAGTGGGGGGGAAGACAAAAAAAGATAAAATATGGAAGGATGTGGGGAATCCTCCTATTTGTGTGTCCCAGGGCCCCTTCCTTCTCGGCCGCGTGCTCTGGGGACCCTGCGGCCGCCTCGCCCTTCCTTGGCACGGCGGGTGGCTGCGCCGGGCGTGGCGCAGAAGGGGGTGCCACAAAGTGGTTGGAGCGAGCGCTTGGGAGGAGGAGGACGAGGAGGAGGGAGGGGAGCAGGCTTCAGGAGGGGAAAAAACACACAGACACAATTAATAATCGTGGATTCCCCCGAAAATATGGGAAAATATGGGAAATGGGGGGGGGAAGACAGAAACCCAGAAAATATGGGAAAACATGGGGATCTTTTTATTTGTGTGTATTTATTTGTGTGTCCTTGGGCCCCTGGAGGGATGCCGCCTCGAGGTCGTCCTGGGCCGTCGCCGGGCGGCCCGAGTGCTCCCCCCCGGGCCCTTGGGGTTGGCAGGCCTGGCCGGGCAGGCCTCGGATGACGGCACATCGTTCCGGCGCGTTCTGGAGGCAAGGGCGCCCTCGAGGGCGCGAGGTTATTCGCGCTTCGCGGTTCGGCTCCGATTCCTCCTCGTCCTCCTCATCTCCCCTGGGAGGCGGCGCGAGAGCGCGAAGTTATTCGCACTTTGCGCTATTCGCAGTCTGCGCTTCGCGCAGCGCGAAGCGCGAAGTTGGGAGCCCATGGGAAGGTTCTGGGCGTGGCACGGCTACGATGCCCAAGACATCTTCCAGGCCCAGCAGCCGTCCGGGACTCTCGATGCATCCCAACCAGCTCAAGTCGGGCGTGTCCCTCTGCAGGAGGACTATGCCAAAACAAGTGTTCTAAAAGCGATATGGGGACGATGTTTGGACTATATTTGAGCATTCTTAGAGTAGTTTCTAGTTTTCTGCCAAACTACGCCTGTTAGATGACACGCCCTACCTAAAACTAGACATTATGTTGAACGTTGCTTACCACACGAACCTTCAAAAACTGCTACAACCTTTGCAGGCGAATGTGCGCGGCGCCACGGCGGGAGCCACATCTTGAAAAGGAACCGCCCTCCACGTTCGGAATTGCTGCAAACTTCCAAGGCGAGTGTGCGCGGCGCTACGTCGGGGGCGGCCAAGAGGGGGGTGATGATTAGGGGAGGTGGATATCATGGCGTGGGCCATGATATTCCCTCAGATTTCATGGCGTCTCTTCTTGTTTCAATACGTCCCCGCCCCACCCCCCCTGGGCCGCGCACATGCCACCGGACATGATTGGCGCCCCCCCTCTTGGACGCCCCCCTCTTGGCCGCCCCGACTACAGCGAGAGCCACATTTTAAAAAACGATCTTCCCTCCATCCGTGAAGCTGCTGCAACCTGTTCAGACGAATGTGCGCGGCCCTTGGGGCGAGAGCCGAAGCCTGAAAAGGACCCGCCCTCCATCCTTGGAGCTGCGGCAGATTTCAGAACGAATGCGCGCGACGCTAAAGCGAGAGCCACGTTTCGAAAAGGAACCGCCCTGCATCCGTGAAACTTTTGCGAATTTCAAGCTTCACTATCATAAATGTTAAGTCGGGCGTGTCCCCCTACAGAGGGATTTTCGACGAAAAATGAAAAATGCCCCAAAAATACCCCAAAAAGGTCAGAAAATATTCCAAAAATAGTCCCCAGACCATTTTTGGACTATTTTCTGATGATTTGTTGGGGTTTTTTTTATTTTTCGTCGAAGATCCCCCTGTAGGGGGACAGGCCCGACTTAACGTAAAGGGTAGGGAGGGTAGGGGAGTCTCAGGCACGACGCCTGGCCCGCCCTACCGACACACTTGGGGGGGGCGGCGCGGAGGAGTTACTCGCAAGCGAGAGCGATGGAGGCGGAGGAGGAGGAGGAGGAGGAGGAGGAGGAGGAGGAGGAGGAGGAGGAGGGAGAGGGAGAGGGGGAGGAAGAAGGGAGGATGCGGAGCAGAAGAGGAGGAAGAGGAGAAGGGGGAGTCGAACCAGGGGGAGCAGTCGGAGGAGGAGGAGGAGGAGGAGGAGGAGGAAGATGGGGAGGAAAAAGGGAGGATGCGGAGCAGAAGAGGAGGAAGAGGAGGAGGGGGAGTCGAGCCAGGGGGAGCAGTCGGAGGAGGAAGAGGAGGAGGAGGAGGAGAAGCCAGCGGCGGCTGAGGAGGGGAAAGGCGGAGAGGAGTCGAGCAGGGGGAGGAAGCGGAGGAAGAAGAGGAGGTGAAGACCGAGTCGACGGAGAGGAGGCGAAGGAGGAAGAGAGGGCGGAGGAGGTGTGAGGGTGAGGCTAAGGGTAGGCGGAGGAGGCAGAAGAGGAGGAGGAGGAGGAGGAGGCAGAGGAGGAGGAGGAGGAGGAGGAGGAGATGCAGCGGGTGCGGCGGGCGGCGGAGCAGGAGTACGAGAAGGAGAACGACGAAGATGAAGAGACCGACCGAGTGCCGTCGCGCCCGGGCGCGCCGGGCGTGTCCCGCGCCGGAGGAGGAGGAGGAGGAGGAGGAGGAGGAGGAGGAGGAGGAGGAGGAGGAGGGGGAGGAGATGGAGGAGGAGGAGGAGGAGGAGGAGGAGGAGGAGGAGGAGGAGGACCCGCGTTGGGCGTCGGTCGCTGCATGCGCGCGCTCGCGGCTGCCGCCCCCCTCGGCCAGGCAGAGATCGGCGGCATATCGGACCTCTATAAGCAGAGGACGAAGGCAGGCCCTCCCCCCAGGGGGGGGAGGGAGGAGGGCAGGGGGGCAGGAGACAGCTTCTCGACTTTCCTCCTCCCGCGCCGTCGCCGAGCTTCACAGACTGCTGGGGGCCTAGCGGCACAGGGCCGATGCTGCCTCCGGGCGGCCTGGGTCCTGACCTTCGGACGTCCCTTGCCTTCTGGCGGCTGTCTGCGTCAGGAAGACGGTCATCGGACTGGGAGGATGGGGCTGGGAGAAATGAGGATGTCCTTACCCGTAGGCGGCCGAAGGTATCGTTCATTACATCCAGATGTTATTGCGCATGCCCAACACGATAAATGTTATCCTCACTGTGGGCTCCCAGGGCCCCTCCTCCTCCGCGGCCGTCCGGCGCGTTTCGATCCGCTCCAGGGCGCCCCAGTGACGGGCGCGGCCCGCCGCCCCTGCAGTCGCGGTCGCCTCCTCCTCCTCCTCCCCCTCCTTCTCCTCCTCCTCCTCCTCCTCCTCCTCCTCCTCCTCCTCCTCCTCCTCCTCCTCCTCCTCCTCCTCCATTCCGTGTCCTTATGAATATTTTCGCCCTGTCGCACCCCGAGGCCAGTCTTTAGGGCGGGCTGGGCGTTTCGCCTGAGACTTCCTCACCATCTATAACTTTGAAGCTTTTAAAAAAAACAGCAGCTTCACAGATGGAGGGCGGGTCGTTTTCAAAATGTGGTTCTCGCTTTAGTGCCGCGCACATTCTTTTTCAAAATTTGCAACAGCTTCACAGATGGAGGGCGGGCCGTTTTCAAAATGTGGCTCTCGCCTTAGCGCCTCGCACATTCGTTTTCACAGTTTGCAACAGCTTCACGGATTGAGGGCGGCTCCTTTTCAGAATGTGGTTCTCGCCTTAGCGCCGCGCACATGTGTTTTCAAAATTCGCAAGAGTCTCACGGATTGAGGGCGGCTCCTTTTCAAAAAGTGGTTTTCGTTTAAGCGCCGCGCACGTTCTTGCTAAAATTGTAGGAGATTCACGGGCTCCCAGGGTAAACGTACCAGAAATAGTGTTTTGGACGGATTTACGAGCATGAGGGCGCAACAGTTACGATGATTCGCGGAATTGAAGTCCCAGGAGTGGCGTTCTGGCACGATTCAGGATCGTCAAGATGCAACAGTCAAGTTTATCCGTGGCGTTGGAATACCCAGAATAATGTTTTGGCATGCTTCACGGTCTTCAAACGGTTGTCTTTCAATGAGGCAGGTCCCTCTGTGGAGATGAACCTTTGTAGGGGCCTAAGAAGAGGGAGCTTGGGGGGAGGGTTTATTCCAACATCGTTGGTGATTCTTGGGTTTACACTGGTCCTCCTCCTCCTCCTGCTCCTGCTCCTGCTCGGGCCGGCCGCACTTCATGCAGGAGGCATGAAGTGCAGCCGGCTCGAGGTACAAGATCGAGGTCGGTACGGGGAGGGTGCCCTGATGCTCGTCTTGCTCCTTGTGCATCCTGGCGAGGGTGCCCTTGGATGTTCTGCGTGTCTTGGCCGGCGGATGGTCTCGTGTTCTTAAAGGATGCTATCATGTCCCAGGTCCGGCTGTAGCAGGGGAGGCCGGGAGCGGCGCGAAGAGGAGGGGGAGGAGGGAGCAGCAGGCGCGCGCTGATCGGCCAGGTTTCCGAGCTCCCGTCGTTCGCCAGCCATACGATGGCGGCCTTTGCCCCTGGGTCGCACCTGGCGCCTGGAGGAGAGAGCCCCCACCATGGGCACGACAGCTCCTCGATCGATGGCCCCATGCCAAGATGAATGGGTGCCCTTGGCCCTGGTCACGTCCAGCTGCTCCCGGCGTTGGTGGCATCCCGAGCCGCTCGCCACAGCGGCCCCGGCCGGCCGCCGGTTCTCTGCAGCTTGCTTCCACGCCCATGTGGCGCAGCTGCCGTACAATATGCACCTGCCACTCTTGAGGCCAGCACGCACGTTCGCGAATAAGAGGTGGCTGTGACGGCAAGGGCTCGAAAGCAAGGTACGCCTGGAACTTGGAACTCTACTGGTCCTTGTAAGAGCCCCTCGTGTTGGATCAGGTATGATTTCGAAACCACGTATAGGCCTTCGAGCTAGACTCGCCGGTCCTTCAATTGTCTGTTCTCTCCTCCACCTCCCCTCTCCCCCGCAATATTCGATTTGCTTGCGTTGTTATTTCCGCGACAGCGAGATGCCATGCCGCCCCTGGCCGTCACAGAGACTGCCGAGCCCTAGCGACGGTTGCACGCACATCCCGAATTTTCTCGCCATGTTCCAGCTGGGTGCTGTCTCAGACACGATCCAAGCCGACGTGTACTGCATGCAAGTGAACATGGGCTACCGCAGCCTACGGCTTGACCTGACTTGATCCCCAGGGGGCACGTTTCGGTCGGGACGCGGCCCAGCGTGACACAGAGCGGCTACCTTGTGCGGATTGGCGCTACCGCATCCCTTCCTGATTTCGGAATTGCGGCCCCCACAAGAAACACCATGGGTCAAGTTATGTACGAATGGAGGGGAGGAATACGGGCAGTAATGAAGCGGAGTAGAATACAGTAGGGGACGGATGAAGAGGTGGAGGGTGAGCGGGATGGCTTACTCACCATGCATTGTGTGTTCGCAGGTGGAGGTGAAGAACGGGGACTGGGTCTCGTTCCAGGTGGAGATCAGCAGAGGTAAGCCGAGGGCGCGCGACGTTGAGAAGATAGATACGCCCGAG